ACAAGTGTCTTATGACAAGTGTCTTATGACAAGTGTCTTATGACAAGTGTCTTATGACAACTGCCTTATGACAACTGCCTTATGACAAGTTCCTTATGACAAGTGTCTTATGACAAGTGTCTTATGACAAGTTTCTTGACAAGTGCCTTATGACAAGTACCTTATGACAAGTACCTTATGACAAGTGTCTTATGACAAGTGCCTTATGACAAGTGTCTTATGACAAGTGTCTTATGACAAGTGTCTTATGACAAGTGTCTTATGACAAGTGTCTTATGACAAGTGCCTTATGACAAGTTCCTTATGACAAGTGTCTTATGACAAGTGCCTTATGACGAGTGCCTTATGACAAGTGTCTTATGACAAGTGCCTTATGGCAAGTGCCTTATGACAAGTTCCTTATGACAAGTGTCTTATGACAAGTGCCTTATGACAAGTGCTTTATGACAAGTGTCTTATGACAAGTGCCTTATGACAAGTGTCTTGTGACAAGTGCCTTATGACAAGTGTCCTATGGCAAGTGTCTTATGACAAGTGTCTTATGACAAGTGTCTTATGACAAGTGTCTTATGACAAGTGTCTTATGACAAGTGTCTTATGACAAGTGCCTTATGACGAGTGCCTTATGACAAGTGTCTTATGACAAGTGCCTTATGGCAAGTGCCTTATGACAAGTTCCTTATGACAAGTGTCTTATGACAAGTGCTTTATGACAAGTGCCTTATGACAAGTGTCTTATGACAAGTGCCTTATGACAAGTGTGTTGTGACAAGTGCCTTATGACAAGTGTCTTATGACAAGTGTCTTATGACAAGTGTCTTATGACAAATGTCTTATGACAAGTGTCTTATGACAAGTGCTCTCGTGGATCGAATCATGGCTCACAGACAGGAAGCAGAGAGTGTCCATAAATGGGGTTAAATCCGAGTGGGGATCAGTAACAAGTGGCGTTCCACAGGGATCAGTCTTGGGCCCGTTGTTGTTTATAATATATATCAATGATCTTGATGAAGGAATTACTAGTGATATGAGCAAATTCGCCGATGACACGAAGATAGGTAGGATAATTGATTCAAACGTAGATGTTAGGGAACTTCAGGAGGATTTAGACAAACTCTACTCTTGGTCAGAAAAGTGGCAGATGCAGTTCAATGTAGATAAATGCAAGGTTCTGAAGCTCGGGAGTGTCCATAACCCTAGCACTTATAAGTTAAATAATGTACAACTTAGCCATACAGATTGCGAAAAGGACTTGGGGGTTATGGTAAGCAGCAACCTTAAACCAAGACAGCAATGCCTAAGCGTACGTAATAAGGCAAATAGATTACTGGGATTTATATCAAGAAGTGTAAGCAACAGAAATCCAGAGGTCATACTGCAGCTTTATACATCATTAGTAAGGCCTCACCTAGATTATGCAGCTCAATTCTGGTCTCCATATTACAGAATGGACATAAATTCGTTAGAAAAACATTCAGCGTAGGATGACTAAATTAATACATAGCATTAGAAATCTTCCTTATGATGAAAGATTGAAGACTCTTAAGTTACATTCACTTGTTAGACGAAGAATGAGGGGAGACCTGATCGAAGTGTGTAAGTGGAAGATAGGTATTAATAAAGGGGATATTAACAAGGTCTTGAGGATATCTCTCCAAGAGAGAACCCGCAGTAATGGATTTAAATTAGATAAGTTTAGATTTAGAAAGGACATAGGAAAGTATTGGTTTGGAAATAGGGTAGTTGGTGAGTGGAACAGTCTACCTAGTTGGGTTATTGAGGCTAGGACTTTGGGTAGTTTCAAATTTAGGTTGGATAAGTACATGAGTGGGAGGGGTTGGATTTGAGTAGGATTGCACATCAGAGTTTATTTCATGGGTAGCATTGAAAATTGGGTTGGTCAAATGTTTGTTAGTGGGATGAATTGTAAAGGACCTGCCTAGTATGGGCCAACAGGCCTGCTGCAGTGTTCCTCCTTTCTTATGTTCTTCTTATGTTCTTATGTAAATCTAAACTTGTCCAATTTGAATCCGTTATTGCGGGTTCTCTCTTGGAGAGATATCCTCAAGACCTTATTTATATCCCCTTTGTTAACACAAGAACATAAGAAAGGAGGATCACTGCAGCAGGCCTGTTGGCCCATACTAGGCTGGTCCTTTACAATCCATCCCACTAACAAAACATTTGCCCAACCCATCTTCCACTTGTACACTTCGATCATGTCTCCCCTCATTCTTCGTCTTATAAGTGAATGTAGTTTAAGAGTCTTCAATCGTTCTTCGTACGGAAGATTTCTAATGTTATGTATTAATTTAGTCATTCTTCGCTGAATGTTTTCTAACGAATTTATGTTCATTCTGTAATATGGAGACCAGAACTGAGCTGCATAATCTAGGTGAGGCCTTACTAATGATGTATAAAGCTGCAGTATGACCTCTGGATTTCTGTTGCTTACACTTCTTTATATAAATCCCAGTAATCTATTTGCCTTATTACGTACGCTTAGGCATTGCTGTCTTGGTTTAAGGTTGCTGCTTACCATAACCCCCAAGTCCTTTTCGCAATCTGTATGGCTAAGTTCTACATTATTTAACTTATAAGTGCTAGGGTTATGGACACTCCCGAGCTTCAGAACCTTGCATTTATCTACATTGAACTGGTATAAACTTTGGTAATAAATACCGACAAGTTGGTTTAGAAAGACACGTAAGCAAACACTATAACATATTTATTAGAAAACGTTTCGGTCCTGGGACCTTGATCACTTCTAACATACAGAGGTAGAAAGACATTATATATATAGGCGGAGAGTGAGATGTGACGCACGTGACCTGAGGAATGTCATAAGAACATAAGAATGGAGGAACACTGTAGAAGGCCTACTGGCCCATGCGAGGCAGGTCCTTATCAAAACAACCTCTGCCTATGATGAGGACGGGTAGACGATGAGGTTGTTTTGATAAGGACCTGCCTCGCATGGGCCAGTAGGCCTTCTACAGTGTTCCTCCATTCTTATGTTCTTATGACATTCCTCAGGTCACGTGCGTCACATCTCACTCTCCGCCTATATATATAATGTCTTTCTACCTCTGTATGTTAGAAGTGATCAAGGTCCCAGGACCGAAACGTTTTCTAATAAATATGTTATAGTGTTTGCTTACGTGTCTTTCTAAACCACATTGAACTGCATCTGCCACTTTTCTGAGAACGTTGGTTTTCTTACACTACTCCCAAGCGTCACTTTCTGAACGTATCTTGCATACGGATGTTTTTTAGATTTAGGTTAAGTTAGTTTAGTTAGATATAAGTTACGTTAGTTTAAGCTATATTAAATTTTGTTAAATTAGATTAGTTTATGTTAGATTAGATAAGATAAGTTTAGGTTACTTTATATTATTAATTTTAGATTGGTTTAGGGTAATGCAGTATGGAAAAGGGGAATAAATGGTATAAAATACCGACACAATGGCAATATAAACACAAATGCAGTATAATGTGATCCTTTATTGACTACGTTTCGCCCACACAGTGGCTTTTTCAAGTCACAAACAGAACTACCTGGGGTGGAAGGAACGCGAGTATTTATAGTCCGGCTGAGGTCAGGTGAAGAATGCTGCATCTGATGATGTACCGAGTTGGGTTGTAGAGTCTAAAAACTTGGGTAGCTTGGAAAGGAGACTGGACAAGTTTGTGAGCAGACCTTCTACAGTGTTCTTATGTGGGATAGCGATGAAGAAGTTTCTTGGCAAGAAACTTCTTCATCGCTATCCCACATAAGAACACTGTAGAAGGTCTGCTCACAAACTTGTCCAGTCTCCTTTCCAAGCTACCCAAGTTTTTAGACTCTACAACCCAACTCGGTACATCATCAGATGCAGCATTCTTCACCTGACCTCAGCCGGACTATAAATACTCGCGTTCCTTCCACCCCAGGTAGTTCTGTTTGTGACTTGAAAAAGCCCACTGTGTGGGCGAAACGTAGTCAATAAAGGATCACATTATACTGCATTTGTGTTTATATTGCCATGGAAAAGGGGAATTAGAACCAGAATCTCTGCGCGTGTAAATGCTTGAACAAGTTCCTTGAGCAGGTTATAGCTGTTTATTATGCTTTTTTCTAAAAGATTTAATCACACATAAAGAAATAAAAAATGGCGAGACAAGTTTTGTCAGTACGATGATTAGGCAAAAACTAGACAGCGTTAAAATTAGCACGCATATTATTCTTGATGACTGGAAATTTTAAACTCTGCGGTGAAGTTCCTGAACGCTGTAATCATTTTAATTTACAATTATTTTCAGAATAAAATTAATAGTTTTATCTACTCTGGAGCATCCTTCACTGCCTAATAAAGTCCCCGGGTAGTTGTAGCTAAGATGTAGGTATCTTGTAGTCTGTTGTAACTCACTAAGTTAATATTGCCTCACCACGGTATTGTGATTTATATTCTTCACTAAACTTTACTGTGTAGGCGTAAAATTGTTTTGTTACAAATATTAATACAAATCATGACTGGAGTCTTGTGTTAGGATGGTATGTTCGTCAGTCGAGTGTTATCATTACAACGGCTGTAGTTCATGGTTCTTGAACACAACGGTGAAGTCAGGCTTACTTAATATACCAAGAGTTATACTCACAAAAATCAATCACTTACCGCGAGTATCAACAGAGGATTAACTTTGTCATGCACGTCAATACCACGAGATTGGTTGATTAATTCAGCGAGCGGCCAATCATGGCCGTCACACCGGCTGGGGGAGGGGGCGCCACCCCCTACCTCATGGCCAGACTAACACACACACACCACAACCCTCTCCTATCTACCACCATTTTCAAACCATACATATTTCACACACGCATAATTTGCCTCTCTTGTTGCATAGATTTCTGGTTTCATTCCATAATTTGTATCTTTCAATTGTTAATTGGATCACTGACAATTGGTAACTAAGGGTTGGTGGGTTGCGGTGTGGGAAGCAGGGAGAGGTGCAGGACTCACTTGGAAAGACAGGCGTCAGATGGCACGATAGAGACGAGTCACAACAGGCAGCAGGTTCTTGCTGGGCGCAGGTTGCATGCTGCGACAGTGGTGGCGCCTTCTCTCCAAGCGGGATGTCCAACTTGCTATGTCTGCTGCTGCTGCTGCTGCTGTTGTTGTTGCTGCTGCTGCTCCTGCTACTACTGCTGCTTCTGCTGTTGCTGTTCCTAGTGCTTATGTACTTTCAACCCCCTCATAGGCATTGTGCGATAATCAGCATCGTGAAAAAGATGAAAATAAGGCGTAGCTGGTATTGCCAGGATGCGGGTGCAAGACCAAGCAACAACAACGGCAGGTTTATGGCCGACGAGAGAAAACGTTGATATGAGAATGAGAGAAAACGCTGCAGCAAGCTGCAGCGATCACCATGGTAACGCTTGTAAACAACCAGAGCAGTCCAGGCCATCGAGCGGGGCCACAATGTGCGGACCACACTACGAGGGCCACACTAGGGAGGCCACATTGGGGGTGGGCCAGTGAATGCGGCGATCCATACTCCAGTGCCTCTCCTCCCAGCTGCTGTTGTATCTACTTGGGCACCACAACTCACACGCATACCACATGCAAGCTCGCTAATATAATTGTTCTATTGGGAAGGGGACCTTGCAATGTTTTTCTTGGATTCTAATATTGTTATACATTGCCCTGCAAGATACAACGCACAGAGAATGCATGCCAGGGCCAGGAGCTACGACTCAACCCCTGTAACCACAATTAGATGAGTACACACACGCACCGTGTACGCCAGGCCCATATTGGGATATGCAGCATCAGTATGGAACCCACACCTGGTCAAACCTCTCAAGAAATTGGAGAAAGTGCAAAAGTTTGCAATAAGACTAGTCCCGGAACTAAGGATTTTGTCCTACGAGAACCTGACGACATTAGAGGAGAGGAGGTATAGGGAGGACATGATAACGACGTATAAAATACAGAGAGGAATTGACAAAGTGGACAGGGCCTGAATGTTTCAGAGATGGAACACAAGGACAAGTGGACACAACTGGAAATTAGCAACTCAGATCAGTCACAAGGATGTTATGAAGTATTTCTTCAGCCTTAGAGTTGTCAGGAAGTGCAACACTCTGGAGAGTGATGCAGTGGAGGCAGGTTCCATGCACAGCGTTAAGATGAAGCCCGATAAGGCTTTTTTAGCAGGGGAGATTAAAAGTAAGGACTTGGAAAATGGGGGCCACATTTTAAAACCCCCTTCCGCAAATAAAAAGGCCCATAAAATAATTTGGTAAAAAAAAAAGTAAAACTAGAAAACGGGGCCGGGAGTTTGGAAAAACCCACGAAAACCAAAAAAAGGTGAAAAAAATAAAAAAAAGGCAGAGAGTCAGGGAGATAGACCCAAAGGTGGGAAGTAACTGGGGTTTCCCCAAAAAAACTTTTTTGGACCCGGGCCTTTTGCGAAAAACAAAGACCCGGGGGGAGGGTTGTCTTTTTAACGGGAAAACAAAGGAAAAAGGGATCTAAAAAACCCCAGGGGGGTTTTTAAACGAGGAAAAGGTCGGCCCCGGGCCCTTTATTAAAAATAAAAAAATTTTTAAGTCAGGGGTTTTGGGGAGGGCTAAAGAAACCGGGCACAGGTAAACCCGGAAGGAACCCGGAAACCGGGAAGGAAAATAAGGGATTGTAAATCAAAAAACCCCAAATTCCCATTCGTTTGGCCCGGCTATTAAAAAAAACCCCAAATCCTTTTGGTTTAAAGTTAAAAAAACCTTATTAAGGGTTTTGGGGGTTGAGTTTGGGGGTGTAAAAGGTATTAAAAATAAAGGGTTTATATAAAGTGGGGTTTGGGAAAGGAAAATGATTGGGTTTATAGTAAATTTTGGGTGGAAGTTTATTGATTGTGGGAAAAGTTAAAGGGGGTGGGTAATTGAGTAATTTGGTTGTAAGGATTTTTGGTAGGGGGTTAAAAGTAAAGGGGTTGGGGAATGGGGGGAATGGGGTGGGAAAAAAAATTAGAAAATTTGGGGGTGGAAGATAGTAATTTTGTGGTAAAAAAAAGGGGGGGGGGTTAAAAAAAATGTGGGAAAAAAAGAGGAGGATGGGAGATTGAGATGGTTTTGGGTATGAAGGGGGTTTATAAGTTTTTTGGGTAGGGGAATTAATTGTGGGAAAGTTGGGGTAGAGGGATGGGGGGTTGGGAAATGTTTTTGGTGGTTTTAGAGGATATTTGGGAAAAGTATTTTAATGGGTTTTATGGGGGTGGGGTGAGGGGGAAGGGAAAGGGTTTGGGTGGTTATTAAGGAGGTGGGTTGGAGGGGTAGTGATTGGGTTTTTTGGTAGTGACCAAAGGAGTTTGGAAAAGTTGTTATTTATGGTGTGTGGGGAGGTGGGGGATGGGGGGGTTGATGGTAGTGATGGTGGGGGGTAGTAGTATAGGTGGGGTGGATGGTGGGGGGGTTTGTGATGTGGTGTGGTTTTGGTATGATGGTGGTGGGGTTTGGGGTGGTGTGATGGGGGGTTTGTGTAGGTGAGGGGGTTGAAAGTATTGATGTGGTTTTGGGTATTGATGGTGGTGTGGTTAGTGATGGTTTTGGGTAGTGGTAGTAGGGTGGTGGGTGGTATAAAGGGTGGTGTGGTAGTGAGGGTGGGGGTGTAAGTGTGGTGGGTAGTAGTGGTGGTTGGTGGGGGGGTGGTAGTGATGGGGGGGTTTGTTTTGGATGTGGGGGTGGTAGTAAAGGGGTGGGGTAGGGATGGTGGTGGGTTGGTTGGGGTGTGGTGTGGGGGGGTGAGTGTGTTGGGTGTGGTAGTGTTGGTGGGGGTGGGGGTGGTAGTAAATGGGGGTGGGAAGGTTGGGTTTTGGGGGGTGGTGGGGTTGGTTTTGTTATGATGGGGGGGTTTGTGGATTGGGTTTTAATGATGGTGTGGAGTAAAGGGTGGTGTGGGGGGTAGTAGTGAGGGTGTGGTGGGGAAGGTGGGGGGGGTTGGTAAAGGGGTGTTAGGGGTGGGGGGGGTGGAGGTGGTTTTGGTAGTGAGTGGGGTGGTTTTAAAGGGGGTTTTTTTTTTTATTGTGTGGGGGTGGTGGTTGGGGGGGGTGGAGGGTAGGGGAAGGGAGGGTGGATTGTAATAAAATGGTGGTGGGTAGTGGGGGGAGGGGGTTGGGTGGGGGTAGTAAATTGGAAGGGGTGTGGGGTGGTATGAGGGTTTGGGGGTTGGGGTTTGGGGGTTGGTAGTAAAGGGTGGTGAAAAATTTAAAGGAGGTTTGTGGAGTAATATTATTTTTGTGGAAAGGAGGGAAGGTGTGGATTTGTATTTTAAATAATTAAATGGGGGGGTTTAATAAGTTTAGCAAAGGGAAAATTTATTTGTGGCTACGGGGGAAGGGGGTTACCTTTTAAGGTATTATGTCTTATTATTTTGGGGGATTGGGAAAAGGGGTACTGGGGGTATTATTATTATGATGCATTTATCTTGGGGAATTATGATTTATTTTTAAATTGGGCTTAATATATTAATAATTTAATTATTTTAGGGGGGGGTATTAACTTTTATTCCCAGATGGGTTTTTAATATTTTATATTTTTTAAATTTAAAAATTTTATTTAAATTATTAATTTTTGGGACCTTTTGGGGAAATATTATTTAAAATTTAAAGGGGACAAACAAGGGTGGATAGATGATTATTATTTGGGGTAAAAGGGCGGGGGGAAGTAGGTGAGTATATTAGGCTTTTAATTTTTATTAGATTTATTGGGGAGGTCTTGGGGAAAATAGTAGTGAATAAATTTAGAAGGTAATATGGGTGTAATGGGTTTTAAGTATTGTTGGGATTTTTTAAAGGGATTTTTAATTGGGTAATAAATTTGGGGGAAGGGGAAATTAGAAGGGTAAATTTCGTTCCATGTTTTTGGGATTTTTTAGAATTTTTGATTGGGGGTTAGAGGATGAATTGGTTAAAGGGGCAGGGGGTTTGGGGTAAAAACTTTTTTAAATATGTTTGGTTAGGGATAAACGGGGTTTTTAAAGGGTCCCGGAAGGTTGTGTTAGGGGCCTAGGGTTTGGGGTTTCCCTTTGGGGTTTGTTTAATTTATTTGGGGTTTTGATTTAGGGTTGTGGAAGGGCCCTGAGGGTTGGTGAGGTTAACTTTGGTTTTGGGGAAAACTGATTGGGGTTTGGGGTACTGAGGGTTTAGATCAAGGATTTAGGAGATATTTGGGGGGTTAGAGGACTTTTTTTAAGGTACTATTTTTTTAGCCCCCCCCTACAAGGGTTTTAAACAAAAAAAGGATTTTGGAAACCCCCCCCCAAAACGGGGTAGGGGTAAAATTTTTAGTGAAGGGGGTGGGGGCAAAACCCCCACACTAGTTCAGAAGGGGCCCCAACCCCCACACTATTGCTCATACGGGGCACAACACCACACTAGGCTCATACTCCCCCAAAACCAAAAAAAAGGCTAGAACTAAAACAACACCACACAAGTGCCAGTACCCCCCCCAAAACACCAAAACTAGGGGCTCAGAATTTGCACAACACCACACAAGTGCCAGTACGCACACCACCACACTAGTGCTCAGTACGCCAACACCACACTATTGCCAGTACGCCCAAAAAACCACCTAGTGCCCCAAAAACCCCCACAAAAACCCCCCTTAGGCCCGTACTCACAACACCACACTAGGTTCTCAGTATTTCAAAACCCACCACACTGTGCTCAGAACTGCACAACACCCAAAAATTTCTCAGTCCCTGCCCCAACCCCCCCACTAGTGCTCGTACGGGCCCAACACCCCCACTAGTGCCAGTACGCACAACCCACACAATTCTCAGTACTGCACAAAAACCCACACTATTTCTCAGTACTGAAACAACCCCCACACTAGGCCCCAGTATTTCAAAACCCACCACATTTTTTTGCTCAGAATTTGCACAACCCCCAAAACTAGTCTCAGTACTGCCAACACCACACTAGTGCTCAGTACGCACAACACCACACTAGTGCCCCAGTACTGCACAACCCCCACCTATTCTCTTTTCTGCACAACACCACACTAGTGCTCGGGTACGCACAACACCAAACTATGCCCAAAATGCCAACCCCCACACAAATTTCTCATACTGCACAACACCACACTAGTGCTCATCCCGCAAAACACCACACTAGTGCTCAGTACGCCCCCAACCCCAAACTATCCCAAAAAAACTGCACAACCCCACACTATGCTCAGTACTGCCCCAACCCCCACACTATGCTCAGTACTGCACAACACCACATAGTGCTCAGTACTGCACAACACCACACAAAGGCCCCGTACTGCAAAACCCCCCACACTAGGCTCAGTACTGCAAAACACCAAATTATTGCTCAGTACTGACAACCCCAAAAATATGC